GGGGGTGCGGGGTGGGGGTAGAGTAGGCAGGGGGTCCCTCCCTACCCTGCTTTAGTCATCTGAGATGGAAAGTCTGCTGAAAATGGGCAGGCGTCTTGAGTTGTCCAAAGTGGGGGAGTCTGAGCCACTGTGGCTGCTGCTGGAGCTGCTCAGATAGCCCTCCTGGTCCGAGAGCGAATCCTGAGGGCTCGGGGGAGAGTCAAACATGTGGGGAGACTCGGACATGGGCCGGAAGAGGAAGGTGGTTGGGGAGCCACCCCCGGGCAGCCCCATGCTAGGGGCAAAGAGGCTGGCCAGCTCCTGGCTGGAGAAGGCAAAGGGGTTATTGGTGCCATCAGGCAGGGTGGGTGAGCCCAGGAGGTCGTCTGCGCTCAGGATGGGGGGTGGGGTGATAGACGTGGGGCTGTCCAGCAGCCCCGTGGCAGCAGCGGTGGCAGCGGCACTGGGAAACCCAGCAAAGCTAAAGCTATGCTGGAGGCGGGGACGGTCAGCGGAGAGGTCCCGGGCCCCCGCCAGGGCGCGGCGCTCCTCGGCGTTGTGGATGAAGTGGCAGCGGGGCCCATAGGGGCAGAAGCCGATGGTGTGGAAGGTGCGGCACAGCTCCGTCTTGTACTTGGGGTGGCGGGTCAGGCTTCGGAGCTCATGGATGCCGTGCGCAAACTGGCACTTGTCCCCGTACTTACAGGCACCGTTCTCCTCGAAGGGGCGGCACAGCTCCGTCTTGTAGCGGCTGGAGTTGACCTGGCCGCTCCCTGGCTGCTTCTGGGTGGGCAGCAGCCTCTCGCCCCCTTCTGAGAAAGAGCGGTCTCGGAAGCGGCTGTCCCGAGAGCTCAGAGCTGGGGCCGGCTCACCCTTGAGGCTGCTGAGGAGCTGGTTCTGGTGAAACTTGGAGCTGGGCAGAGTGACCGAGTGCCTCCGGGGGAAGCCCCCACCGGCCGGGGTGCCCACCGCCTTCCTGTCCAGCAGGCAGCCCCCTGCACTGGGAGTACTGTAGTTGAGCATCTTGTTACCCTGCAGGGAAGAGAAGGAAGAAAGAGAACAGTTAGTGACGAAGGCCATCCACTAGGCACACAAAGGGTACCCACTAAGGGCAGCACCCTCCACAATCAGAAACACCCCACCTCTCTCAAAGGACCCACCTCTGCCCTGGCAAGCCCCCCACCCTCTTTCTCCCATAGACCAGCCACCACCTGGGTTTACTTTGGCCCCATGCATAAGAAACCACAAAATCCTGGCCTTGTGAGAAATTGTTTGATGCGGGCACCCTACTCCATGCGGACCCCTGGAATGCACCCCCACATCCTGTCCCCAAAGCTTTCACTTTTATCCATAAAAATCCAACTTCTTTACCTCCCAAATAGATTCCTCAGCTCAAAATATCCCACACAACTCAGACTGCTGTAGATTCCCCCTCCTCCTAACAAAAGGGAGTAAACCTCAGGAGACTATGAACTTGGTCCCCTTTTAATCAGTCCCTGCTTAATTGACCTCCATTCCACGACCCAGCCTCCTAAGACTCAACTTCCTCCCTTCAGAAGCGTTCCCTTCCTTTAGCAACAGGTTTCCAGACTGCCTCTGCTTTATCTTGCTGGGGAGAGTGGGAGGAGGAGGAGCACAAGGAGAAATCCCTGGTCTGGGGGATGTAGGGGTAGACACGGGGGAGAAGGATGTGATTCCTGAAAGTAAAACTCACTGCCCCATGCTCCAGGAAGGGGTGCCTTCCACAGTGATCTCCCCCACCATTCCCTGCCCACTCCCCCTCCACTAGGAAGATGCCTTTGCAATTAGTCTTCTGGCTGCAAGAGCAAGCTTGGATAACAGCTCCACTGTTTAATCTTTAACGCAAAGCTGCAGGTGGGAAGTAAAAGGAAAGCAACAAACCCCCCCCCAGTCAATAGTGGATTTGGAGGAAGGGGGGCAGAGCCACAAGCAGGTTGCTGTTCCAATGGGACCTCGGTCACCTGCCCAAACTGTACCCAAGATTTGGAAAGGGTGTGATGAGGGGACCTGGGAGTTGGCCCCCAGCCCATGTGGGTGTCACTGTGCAAATTCTAAGGTTGGTCCCTTAGGATCAGCTGCCGGGGATCAGGAATCTGTAACAGCAACCACCCCACGGAGCGGATTACAGGAACCGAGTTGAGAGCCGGTTCCCAACAATGGGGTTCATTTAAAAAGTCCTGCGGGGGGAGGGGGTGAGAGAAAGAGAATCAGACGAAAGGGCGGGAGAGCCGGGAAGAGAAGGAAACAGCGCGGAGAGCTCAGGCAGCCGCCAGGGCAACTGGCGTTTTAGAAAGCGCAGGGAAGGCAGAAAGCTTCAAACTTTTTTGATGTTGCTCTTCAACTCCACGGCGTCCCTGCACCCCAACCCTGCAGCCCTGGGGCTCTGGCAGTTGCGCCGACTGGAGAAGCAAGCTGGGAAAAGAGAGCAACATGACCCGACGTGTTTAAAAGAAGGCAAAACACTTTAGCAATTAAAAGTAGCCTAGCAGCTTCCCTCCTTCAAATTGGGGAGAGAGGCTGAAAAAAATCTAACACCCATAGGCTTTTGCTATGTACACTTAAACCGCACTCCTGGAACATTCCGGCTTTAAAACTTGCTTTTTTTCACCCCGACTGGCAAGCTACACGGCTTTAGGAGGCCCCTATTAAATCCTTCCTCGCGGAGACCCCTGAGCTCAGGCCGGCATTTTGTCGTCGTGTCCCCCCACCTCCTCCAAATCGATGAGCTGCGGTCCGCCAGAAAACACTTAAGCGGGTCAACCTGAGCCCCACCTTCACCCCAAAGTTTGCAGCACGATCGGCTATCACAGGAAGAAGCCTGGCTGAGCTGCGACGAACTGAAGCCCCACTGCAAACTTGTCTTGCAACATCTTTTGAATCACAACTCTCCGCCTTTTTCTTGCAGATTTCCAGCCCCTCCAGAACAGACGGATAAACCCCCAGGAAAACGTCGCCCCGAGACTCACTTCCCCGAGGGACCCCCCCCCCCGCCCCGACCCTAGAAGCCGGCATTGTGGCTGGAAAGCCTCGAACCCCTCCCGACGGCGGCGGTACCCAGAGCGCGCACAGGGAAACCAAGCGGACAGCGAAACCGGGCTCAAGCAGCAAGTCACGGACAAGAGAATCACCGGAAAATTGCCCGAGTCCTGCCCAATGACCCGCGTCCCCCGGGCAGCCCCGCCATGCAAACTTCGCCCCCCAAAACTCTGGTCTCCAGATTCCCATGTAATCCCCGCCAGGAACTGTTAAACTCAAAGGGTGGGGAGGAAAGGGCCAAATTCCTTTAAACTGGAGGGGAAAATGGGGAGGAAAAGAGAACTATCTCGCCTCTCCTCCTCTTCCCCCTGCCTTCCAAGACCTAAACTTTTGGGGATTCTTTCCGAAGGCAAAAGAGAAAAGAAGACTCAAAAGCAAACGCTCCGCCCTACTTTACCTTGCATAAAACTTCGCTCAAGTCGAAGATGGTGGCAGACACGAGGGTGGTGGTCATCCTGGGCGCTCGCGCGGGGCAGGGACGAGGATCTGATGTGTCTCGAAGGTCCCGGTGCGGGGAAGGCGCAGCCTCCGGCTCTCGGGTCTGGAGTCCCACACGCCTGCTCCCGGCGCCCCTCGCCTTTCTGACTCTCCCGGGCTGCGGCGCGCGAAGCCCAATTTATAAAGTTTCAGATTTAGTGGGCCGGGGGAGGAGGAGCTTTAAACTTATTTAAATAAGGAAGAGAAGGGAAAAAAAAAGTTGATTGACACTGAAGTTGAATCAGCCATGCGGTCAAACTCGGGAAAAAAAAAAAAGAAACTTTCAAAAGGAAGAAGGGGGAGGGGAAACGAGGAAAGGCGGCGAAGAAAAAAAAAACCCCACTGCGAGCCGCGCACAACTTTTTTTTCTTAAAGAGGAAAAGTTTCGACTCCGCTCGCTTCGCTACCCCGCGTTGGAGGCGCCCGTCTCTGGGGCCGCGCGGGGCGCAGAGGGGGAGGGGAGCGCCCCCCCCTTTGTCAGCCTGCGAGCGCGGCTCTGTGACATCACTCATTCCACCCTCTTCGGGGTTCTTGTTGTTGTGTTGTTGTTTTTCGTCGGGCAGGAAGGCAGGCTCGACTTTCTCTTTTTGCAAGCAGGAGCAGAAGTCCATCCTTAGCGCCTGGGCTGCAGTTTCCATCTTGAGCAGATCTCGCTTGAAACTTCTCCAAGTGGCCGCACAACTTACTCTTTTCCCGAGTTCTCTTCCGCACTCGGCTCCTCTCCCCAAACCCGGCAGGAAGAGAGAAGATTGGATATTTGGGACGCACAAAGCGTTGAAGTCTAGGATTTTATGTTTTTTTTCAGAGGGGAGATGGCTGGGAGGGGATCAGGGAGGCTTTTTTTCCCCCGGGAGGACCCGGCCTGGCGGGGGCGAGCGCAGAACGGTTTAGCGCGCCGCACGCGTCTACACTCGCGCTCGCTTTGCAGCCGGCACTCTCCGAGTGTGGGTGGGAGGGGAGGACGTCGCGAAAAAGACCACCGCCCCGGCGGATTGTTTTTACAGGCCTGGGAGTGGTATTTATTGCACGCATCCCATCTGTAAACTTTTTTCTAGAGAAAACCTGAATCCTCAAGAACGCCCCTTCCCCCCATTCAAAAGAAAAAGAAAAAGCCACCCAGCAACGCACAACTTTCCACGCGCGCCCTGAACTATGGGCCGCGCCGAAACTCCCCCCTTCCCCCCCACACACATCCCTAGACACTTGAACAATGAAAAAAAGTGACTTTGGTAAGACGGAAGGTAAAGAGATGGGGGGAGGCGGCATTTTTAACTTATTGTTGCTTCTCCCCCGCCCCCACGGGAACGGAACATATGGCTTGTCACGCTGCGCTGTTTTGGCGGGATGGGGGGAGGGGGGGTATGGGATCCTCGAAACCGAAAGGCCCCCAATTGATTATTATTCCCTTAAAACCTGTAAAATATATATTTATTTACTGTTAGGTTCAGATGCCCCTCCACCCACCCAAATAAAAAGTTGTTAACGTGTCCGCCACCAGCCCCCCAGCCTTCCCCAGGGTGCCGGAGTGCAGACGAGGCGGAAATCGTGGGGCTGCCTTTCTTTCCTATTTCCCCGCGTGCCCGGCCGCCTCCTCGGCCCTCGCACGTTTCTTCCCAGCACTCGAGGCCGCGGGGTCTGTTATGAAACCCTGTGCGCTGAGTGGCTAAGAGCCGGTTCCATTGCGATGTAATTAGGTCACCCCATTATGAGCACGTTTCTTTGGAAAGGACGGGGCGGGTGAGCAGAGCGGTGGAGTCGCACTCTGACCGCGACTGACCCCCCACACACACACCCCCACACATTTTTACTGCATTTCTTCTTTATTCGTCAACCTCCGAGCAAATCCAGGAACGCCTTCCAAATCACAACTGTTTTAGGAACCTGTTGTTTTTCATCTTCGCGAAACACAGCTTTGCTGCAGCTACGAACCTACGTGATCCCCAGCCCGGTCTGCTTTTATTTGTCCCCTCTGACTTAAATTGATGGCCCCATTTTTAACCCAGCGGCTGCCCCTTGCTTTTTCTTCTTCTCTTGTCCAGCCGCCTGTTGCTTCCCTCCCCCTGCTCCCATTTTTCAGCTTTTCTTGAAATCTGGCAAGCGCCAGAAAGGGAAATAACTTCCATCCACCTTAATTTAAATCATTCAAATATAGGTTTCTTTCTTAAAGGGATGTTTGCTCGCTCCTCTCCCCCCAGCTCCAAGAGGGGAGCGGGGCGGTTTCGTGCAGTTTCTTGGTGATGAGGTAATGAGTTCCAGATTTCAGGACAGAGTAGGGTGCGCATTAAAACCACAAGGTTAGTCTGCGTCCTGATGTGAAGCTATTTCGGGTTTTGATTCCCCCACCCCCCAAAAAAAAGGCCGGTTGGTCTTTAACTCTGGCGGGTTCGGGAAGCTCTGCTGGGGGGACGAGGGAGGGGTGGAGAAGCGGGGGTGGAGAAGCGAGGGGGCTGGGGACCCGGAGCGGGCGGGGCCGTCTTCCCAGCCCGGAGCCCGGCCAGGCCCGCACCCGCTGTCCCCGCTCTCCGGGTGGCGTCGCTTTCCCCCCACCGTGGCTGCGGGACCGACCACAAGCACCATCACGCGCCCTCGGCGCCTCGGACGGGCTAAAAAGTCTCTTTTTTCCAAAGAGAACGCCGATTCCTCGAATTTCCTTCACTTTTCCAACTCCCGGAGGGCGCTCCCCTCCCCCGCTCCCGGGGGCGCGGGCTCCGCGGGGCGCGGCCAGCCTGGCCCGCTCACTCCGGAGTTGTTTACCGGCCCCGCCGACCGGCCGGGTTTGTTCCAACTCCCAGAGCCTGTCTCTATAATTAAACTCTTTTTTTAATTGTCGGGTTGAAACGTCATTTCGGGGACTTTCCAAGGGTGAGGGAGCCGAGGGGAGGGAGCGAGGCTCCTTAACCCTTCGCTGACCCGGCGTCCACGCTGCGGCGGGCCGGGGAGCAGCATCCAGCCGGGCGAGGCGGGATGGGGGTCTGGGGGCCGGAGCCGGCCTGCCCCCGCGCAGACGTGCTCGGCAGGTGCCCGATGGTGGCGGGAACGGCGGCGAGCCACGACCCGGGCAGGAAGCCCGATGGAGGCGTGCGCGGGCCTCCCCCGCCTCCTCCGCTCTGCAGTCAACCCTGTGGTTCCTCCCTGCCGGGCCCGAGAGACCGCCCCGTCACCTGCACTGCCGCTTCCGACCGGGGGGCGATGGACCAGGTCCTCCGTCCCAGGCCTGACTTCTGGGCCCTCCTCACTTGCTTGGAGCCGGTCCCCTGGCGAGGAGGGGCTAGCCAGGTATTTTTGGCTTGGGGGCGTTAGGTTTTGTGAAAGGGAGAAAGTGAAAGTCTTCGGAATTAGGGAAGCGTGACGGATATATTCGTCGGCAAGTCTGGAGCCTGGGCCCACCTCGCGGCAGGTGAGAGTGTGGGGCGCCAGGCTGCTGACCCTAGACGGCCGGGCCTTGTCACCACCGCCCTCCAAGGCACCCCCTTCCCAGTCCCCTCCTGGCCCTGGTTGCAGCACAGGACCTGCCATCGCAGATCCCTGCGATGCTGCACTTCCTTCCCGGCTTCAGGGCATTTGCAAAATCCCCCGAATTCTTCGGATTGGGCCCCGCCCTTCCCCCAACCTCTGCTACCTGAAACCCTGTGACAGCCGCAAAGTCCCAGGAGTAGAGAGAGGGAGGGCCAAGAGTTTCCTGAGAGTACCTGGTTTAGATTCACCTGTAGTGCTTGTGGAATGCAGATTCCTCAACTTGGACCCAGACTCGGTGAATCAGATGCTCTGGGCTGGGGTCAGGAATCCGAACTTTTAGTAAATGTCCTACTAGTGACTCAAACACTAGGGTTTGAGAAGAAGTGTTCCAGGCCTTTGAAGTTGGGCTGTTCTGGATCCAAATCTTGGCTCTGCCATTTTCTAGCTGTGTGACTTTTCAAGACACTAAAGCCTCAGTTTCCTCATCTCTAAAATAGGGATAATGATACTGCTAAAATTGGCTGGTAAAGGGCCTAGTTTCTGCCCAGCTGGACCCTTGTATATGCCTAGCCATTGTATGTCAACTAAGCCATTCTTGGGCCCTCATTACACCGCAAAACAAATTCTGGGGGGTATTCACTTTGCAAAAGTATTCTTCAGTATAGATGCCCATGAAAGTGTCAACTGACAGCTGTGCTCTAGATCACTCTCTGGCTCCCACCCCTAGCCCTGGACAAGGCAGGCAGGCCCCGGGGCCTGGGAAGGGAGAGAGGGCACTGGCCTGGAGCCTGGGGAAGAGCAGGTGGGTCAGGATAAGGTGACAGGAACCTGCTGCCCAGCTGAAAATTACCTGATTGTTGTCACAACTATTTCTGAAAACTAGATTAGTGATCCGATGGACCCTGATGGTAGGAACAGCCAGACTCTTCTATCTTTCAAAGTCCTCAAACCCTCAGAGCACTTGGTGGGCTCAGCTACCAGTATTCTCTCCAAACCAGGCAGAGGCCTCAAGAGAGGGCAGCTGAGGTCTACTGGAAATGCACAGTGTCAGGAACCTAGGGGGTGTAGCTCAGGGAGCCTGCCACCTCCTGTTAGGATTACTGAGAATCCAACCCCAGCACTAGCACGGCCCTGGGGGCGGGGGGGGGGGGGTCTCATTACCTTGCATTGGGTCATCTAAACCCTCATTCTTAGGTCAACTGCTGTAACACTTTCCCTGCAGAGATGTTCCACAGTTCTGTTAAGTTCCCAGGCTAGCCCATAGCTGCACCACCCCCCTTTCTTGCCTGGGCTTGCCTAGAGATACAGGATAGCCCATGAGTTTTGAGTCACCTAGACTTCGATGGGAAACCCAACTCTGCAAGCTGGTCACCAGTTGCACAACCTGTAGCAGGTCACTTAGCCTCTGGGATGGTTGGGAAGATTAAGCTCTTTCCAACCAGTGCTGAGCTCAGACAGCCATTTGCCCTCCAACCACTCCTAACTGCTACCAGTTGCTGGTGGTTGCTGCACACCGCTCCCTGGGGCTTTGCTCAAGAGGGTCCTTTTGCTGGGACTTCAGGCAGCTCCCTGAGCAAGGAGATGCCTCTCTCCCAGTGGGGAGTACAGCCTGCAGCACTACGGCATTCTAACTGCATTTTATGGAAAGTATCTGTTTACTCCCCACTGAACTATAAACTCCTTGAGGGCAAGGGTATCTCTATTACCTGGGCCTCAGGAGTAGGTCCTGAGTAGATGCTCAGTAAATTTTTCCAGTTTCCGTGGAACCCTTGCTGTTGAACCCATTAGGATACTTTGGTGACCCTAAATCTAGCAGCAGGAGTAGAAGAAGGAACTACAGAGATTCCAGGAGTGGGAGGAAGGGAGGGCTTGGGCTCTGAAGGAAGAGGAGATGGCAGCCTTAACACTGGCATGTTCAGAAGGCCAGAGCAGGTATCTCAGGGAGGCTGGGCTTCCACAGCTTGCCCAGGACATGTGCGGCTGTTAAGAGGCAACGTAGTCCGATGGAATGAGCACTGGTCTAGGAGTCAGGAATCTTGGATTCTAGAGCTACTCTGCCTCTGGTTCAGTGGGTCATTCTCTCCTCTGGGCTTCAGTGTTCTGATCTGTAGATGGAGAGGGCTGAAGTATACTGGTGGTGCTCAAACATCACTCTGAGCAGAATGACCTGGGGAGCTTTTAAAACTATACAAGGGCCGGCCCCGAGGCGTAGCAATTGAGTGCGCGCGCTCAGCTGCTGGTGGCCCGGGTTCGGATCCCGGGCGCCCACCACTGCACCGCTTGCCGGGCCATGCTGTGGCGGCGTCCCATATAAAGTGGAGGAGGATGGGCACGGATGTCAGCCCAGGGCCAATCTTCCTCAGCAAAAACAGGAGGATTGGCATGGATGTTAGCTCAGGGCTGATCTTCCTCACAAAAAAATAAAAACATAAAACTACAGATGCCCGGTTCCACCGCACCTCCAAAGGTTCTGCTTCAGTTGGTCTGGGGTGAGGCCCAGCATTTGTATTTTCTAAGCTCCCCAGGTGATTCTATTATGAAGCCAGAAACACTGGATTTGGTTATTTTGGAGCAGTGGTTCTCAAGCGAGGGGTGATTTTGCCCCCCAGTGAACATTTGGCAGTGTCTAGAGACATTTTGGTTTGCCACCACTGGAAGGGAAAAGGTCAGTGCCACTGGCATCTAGAAGGTAGAGGCTGGGGATGCTGCTAAACATCCTGCAATGCTCAGGACAGCCCCCCACAACAAAAAATTATCTGGCCCCAAATGTCAGTAGTACCAAGATTGAGAAACCCTATTTTAGAGGTTCTTTCCAACTCCAAGATTCCTGCGTGCTTATTTAGGCTCCATCCCTCTTCCCGCAAACCTTTCTCCTCATGGCAGCCCAAGTGATCTTTTTCAAAACCTAGATCTGATCTTGTGTTACAATTACCTAAAACCCTTAGTGATCCATCCCTCTTAGAATAAAAACCAAACCCTAGTCCAGCATAATCTGACTGTCTTTTACTGCTCCAGCCTTGACTTTCATACCCACTCCTCTCCCCCCACCACCTTCCCCATCCCCCAGGGCACTCCCTGCGCTCTAGTCAGTTGCAGATGAAAATGAGCCATCCTTCCTCCTGCCCCAGGGCCCTGACACATGCTATTTCTTCTATCTGAATTGACCTTCCTTTGGCCCAAGTAAATTCTAAATCATTCTTTAGAACTCAGCTCAAGCATTGCTTCCTCAACCATTCTTGGCGCCCCCCTCCCCCCATCAAGGCAAAGTGTCTGTCTGCTCTCTTGTGTCCTCATGGAACGTTCATTTCCTTCAAAGTAGTTATTTCA